GATGACTAATGAGAGAAAATGATATTAGCAAAAAATTAAATCTTCCGCTCTGAAAGTACATGATATTTTAGTCTCTTGTTCATTCAGCTGTTTGAGCACTTACTAGGTACTGTGTAAGGCTATATGAAAGGCCTGAAACCCCAAAGACGTATGGGGCACAGGCATGACCTTGAAGGGATTACAGAGTAGTCAAGGGACAGGGAAGTAACTGAAAACTGAAAGTGTGTCCAAGGTCAGTATGAATAAACTGCTGAAGGACCTCAGAGGTTGAAGCACTTGGACATCTTTTGGGTCTCACAAGCATCAGCATGGAAGAAGTGGAATTTCAGTTGAGTCTTAAAGAATAGGATATACTACGGAGGGTCAGGATGGGGGAGGTACTTTGAAGATGAAGGCAACAGTGCTCCTCAGCATCCTAGAATTGGAAAATGTACACACCAGGGCATTCAAGGCAGGGCTTTAAAAAAACACTAAGCCAAAGAAGTTTGGCCTCCAGACTCATCTTAAGTCACATCTCAGCTGGCTGAGGCTCCCTGTTGGGCAGCTACCCCAGAAAAATAGACAGGACACCAGGGCAAGACATCCCCAAAGTGCCTGTGAAATTACCTAGAAGAAGGCCTCATTTTCAGAGGCTTGGTGGGTGTTCAACAAAGAGAAAGACAACAGACCCTACTCTAAATATTAACCTCCAAATACAGTATTTTGGCTATCAACGGCCCAGCCCCAATTAATATAAAATGTATGTGTAAATCTACATTAAAAACACATTCGTGTAAAGTAGTATCAATATTCAGATTCCTTCTTTCAGATATAAAAGAGATACCTTTTGGTCCCTTGGCAGTAAACCGTGGTGATGGATGAATTTACACTGAACCAGAGATGGCCTCCTTGCTAACATCAAGGGACAAGGTTTCCTTCTTATAAGAGCCATTGGCCTCCAAACTTCCTTTGCTTTTCAGGGCACCCTATACTGTGAGTCTATCAGCCCCTTTGATAGTTAGGTTATCCAGGAGCTCTGGGTCCCAGGAGAAACTGGCTGTCACTACGCAATCACATAAAACTAACTTGTAACAGTAGTCCATTTTGTAATTTTTGGTGTGAAATAGCTGGACTGTTGAGAAAGTGGACACTTCCTGAGAAATTATGAGATAGTCAGTTACCTCCAAAGGGAAGACTACCTGGACAAGGACCCCTTTCTTCCCCAGCCTGTGCCAGAAACACAACCCACTAAGGTCTCAGTGAGCAACATCTTTTCAGTATTCCGTGTTGCCCTCTGCTGGGAGACAGCACAGACAGCAGAAAGGGCCCCGGCCATTTGCCCCATAAAAACAAATGGGTTTGATTTCTGATTCTGCTGAGACTGGTACCGGGCCTTGGCCCATCCGTATCATCTCACCAAGCTTTCATTTCCTCAACTGCAAAGCAGTAGTGACAATCAAGTAAAATAACATAGGGGAAATGCTAATTCTCTGCCTCATGGTAGACACTTGATAAAAGACAGTCATTCTCAGTGTGTGACACAGCTTCTAGGGGTAGGACACAATTATAAGAGGGACTTTACCTAACAAATGCAATCAGTGTAACCTGGTTTCTTGTACCCTCAATGATTCCCTAATGATAAAAAGAAAATAAAAAAAGAGAGACAGTCATTTTCCCTTCTCTTTACAGCAACCTTTGTGATCAAGAAACACTGGATTTAGGCTCGGCACCTGTAGCACAGTGGTTACGGTGCAGCACTGAGGCTGGCAGGTTCAAACCCAGCCCAGGCCAGCTAAACAATTATGACAACTGCAACTAAAAAAATAGCCAGGCATTGTGGCGGGTGCCTGTAGTCCCAGGTACTTGGGAGGCTGAGGCAAGAGAATCACTTAAGCCAGTGGTTCTCAACCTTCCTAATGCCACAACCCTTTATTATTATTTTTGTTATTTTTGTTAACAAAAATAATTTTATAATAAAAATTTTAAATAAAATTATTTTTGTTATTATTTTTGTTAACAAAAATAATTTTATGGTTGGGGGTCACCACAACATGAGGAACTGTATTAAAGGGTCGTGGCATTAGGAAGGTTGAGAACCACTGGCTTAAGCCCAAGAGTTGGAGTTTGCTATGAGCTATGATACTATAGTACTCTACCAAGGGCAACATAGTGAGACTTGGTTTCAAAAAAAAAAAGAAAGAAAGAAACATTGGATTTAAATCCAGAAGTCAGTCTGATTTCCAAGTCTGCCCACTTAACATTCTTGTGGGGGGTGGGAGAAAGGTGTGGTGCATAATGCTTATATTCCTAGCAATTTGCGAGGTGAGAGAATCACTTAGACCAGGTATTTGAGACCAGCCTGAGCAACACAGCAAGAGCCTCCCATCTTTATTTTTAAAAAAAGAAAAAATTAACCAGGCATGCACCTGTAGCTCCAGCTACTTTAGAGGCTTGCCAAGAGGATTACTGGTGCCCAGAGTTTGACATTGCTATGAACTATGATGACACTACTAAACTGTAGCCCAGGTAATAGAGAGAGATCTTGTCTCAAAGAAAAAAAAAAAGACCGAATGTGCTTTAGCATGTACGTTGTTTCAGATTCTGTGTTGGCTCTATATGTACTTAGTTTATCTACAATCTGAGGACTGAGGTATTATCTCCATTATAAGAAAATAAAGTTCACAGCCAGGCATTGTGGCTCATGCCTATAATACCAGCACTTTGGAAGGCTAAGGCAAGAGGATGGCTTGCCTGAGCCCAGGAATTCAAGACCAGACTGAGCAACACTGTAAGACCCCATCTCTACAAAAAATTTAAAACTTAGACAGGTGCAGGCCTGTAGTCTCAGCTAATCAGGAGGGTGTGGTGGATCACCTGAGCACAGGAGTTTGAGGCTGCTGTGAGCTTTGAGGCTGCACTCCAGCCTGGGTTACAGAGTAGACTTTGTATCTAAAAAAAAAAGTGTATATATATATATAACTAATCTCAAAGAGATTAAGAAATTTACCAAGGTCACATAGCTGTTGGGGGGCTGAACTTGGGCTTCAACTAGTTCCTTGTTCCAAAAACTATCTACCTATCTGAGGTGATCAAGCTGCCTAAGGAAGGTGGGAAAATGGGGGCAGGCGGGGATGTAAGGGGGTGTAAGCTGACCCATTCGTGAAGATTGTTTCCAACTCCCAAAGCTGTTTCCCCAGATTTACCAGTGGGGATAGTTGAAGGGCACTGCAGCCCTGGTGCTCAGTTCTCCCTTTTTGTCAAAATTATTTGAGTTCTAAACTTAGCAACAAACTAGAAACTGAGGACACGGCAGCTTTAGGGCTCTTATGAAGAAGCACTGTTTCCTGTTCCAATATATAGCATAGCAACTTTGTGTGGCTGAACTTTACAGCTAGAGAAGTTCTCTCCATTTGAACCAGCCCAGTTTAGCCCAAAAGACAGTCTCTCCATACCTAGAAATCTATGAAGACATGCTCTGGCCCTCCCAAACGCTAAGGAGGCAGGCGCACACCTAGATTGAGGGGGCTTTGGAGCTAATGAGACATAATCAAATTTAACACCTGCAAAATGGTGTATAAGAAAATCTAGGGGGATAAATGATAAAATGGTATAAATGGCTCAACATGATGCTGACATATTAAACAAGAATTAGCAAAAATGATCCATACTAGCAGCTTCATAAGAGAACATTTTGAGCCTCGGAGTTCTGGACAATAGACAGGAACTTAACATCTAGGGCAGTGTTTTTCAACCTTTCTTATCTCTCAGCACACTTGAACCCATAGTTATACCATGGCACATTTAAATTATGTTGATGAAAAAAAATTTTTTTAAATACCTGTGCTTTGAGCTTCTTTTGAAAATAATTAATGATCTTCAAAATTTTTCATGGCACATCTAAGATCCTCTCACGACACACCAGAGTGCCGTACACTAGTTGAAAATCACTGATCTAGGAGATGACTTATGGACATTTGTTCCGTAGATGGGAGATACCCAAAAGGGAGGGAAAAAGTGGCAGAAAATCCTTACTGTTGAGTAGTCAGAGAGGCTTCCCTCCACTTTCTCCCTCCATCTCTCTTTCACCATGAACCTCTCTGATTTGTGTAGTAATAGTTAAATTAGGTTCAGTCTCATTACCTCACACACACCTCATACACTGTCTAATACTCTGAGACCAGGGCCTGAGGAATATTTTTCTATGACTCCTTCTGATTTCAATTCTCCTTTTCCTTTCTTAAGAGTATCTAGCACAGGCAAACTGGAAAACATATTTCAGGGAAGAGGGTGTAGAGAATGTTGAAGAATGAATGTTGAAGTCAGCATGTTTGAATTAACATTGTCTGTTTCTAGTCTCTACGTGTCCCCAAAGGAAGGATGGGACCAAATCTCTTAGTTCCAGTTGGGAACACTCGCAGCTTTATATATATCCAGACACTTAAAATTATTAATCAGAAATTGACTTGCTTCTTTGTCTATTTGGTATCTTCTCAAAAGTCAAAAGCACAAGAATTATTACTCATAACAAGATAACTGGGTCTTTGGGTCTTTTGAGTATGTCCATAGTCACTTAGAATTAACAATCACAAGATATCCTGTGTTTACAGGCAGCAAGGTAAGAAAACTAAGGAAGTCTATTATCATTATTTAGTTTAGCTTGATGTCCTGAGATACTTTTCCAGAAGACCATGAATCCTAATTTTAAGGATAAGTAAATAGATTACTTCTGGAGTTTGAAACAGTAGTTATGGAAGTTTCAAGCCCACCCACTAACCCCATGAAAAAACTTTTTCCAGTGTAGCTGCCCACACACAAGCACATACCTACACAATTCCAGGCTAAGAAACTTGGGTTGTACTGAGTAGTTAAAACTCTGATGTATTTCTGATGTTGTTACAACACTGATGGATTTAAGCTCATAGATTAATATATAGAAATACTATCTCCATCTTTTTCACTCATTTGTATTCACTCTATTTTTGTCTAGATACAGACACCAATAAGGAAACACACAAGTCAAATCTGATGTTTCATAGTTTATATATCATCATTTGAACCCGTCTTCTGTTCCATTTAAGCTTGCTCACTGTAAATATTCCAGGTACCTACCCTCTCATTCAGAACATTTAATCAAATTTGGGTGTACTTCAAACCCTCTAAAACAGACCACTATGATAAAATAACAGAAAGATATACATTAATCCAGTTAGTAGCCAAGCATTTTCCTTTCTTGTCCAAAAACCTGTATGAACAGTAAGAGCAGATGGGAGAAAGAACAGAGACACTGACTGATACTGTTTGAACCTAAGTTTTTTGACAACCTCCTCCAGACTGCCTGAATAATATGTTGCCTTTCCTTAAAGAGCAGAGTTAACTGCTTATGCCAAGAACCAGAGGGCAGAAAGGCACCCAGCCCAGCTTCAGCTGAACCTCCACCACTTCACCGTAAGAACAAAATTTTGGAATCGTCCTCCTCTTCCCTGTCACTACAAAGGCAGAAGTAGCTGGGAGCAAATCTCTGCACTAGTTCCTTATATCCAGGCAGGATCAGAGCTTACTGTTCAAACTCCTCTCTGTAAGAACCTTGGATCTTATTTCTTAATGAAATTTCAACTTTGAAGAAAAGACAGCAGTCATTCACTCACAATCTCAAGCCAATCTTACGCAGACAAGTTAAGGCAGGGAAAAGCAAGAGGCCTATTTTAACCCTATCTGGGCCAAAAGCCGATCACCCAGGAAATCCCTAAGATCAAAGTGGTGCTCAGAGCCCTCTCTAGGAAGGTCACAAGTGGTATGTTTAGTCTAGACAGCATAGATCGTCCCCAGGTCCTAACTAGACCAAGCTTCCTGGTTCCAGAATGAACTCACTATTCCTTGGCCCTTTGTACTAGTAAATAATTTGTCACTATTTCAAACTTCCTGGTCCCTTTTCAGCCTGGCTTTGTCCCCAGAGAATTGGGGCAGCAATGGGCCAACCTCTGATTGTGATGAGATGGAGAAATTAGCCACTCTTGTGCGTGTTCTGAAATAGTCCAAACTCCCTTTGGAGTCACGTTTACTCCTAGCTTAAAAGTGCTAAGAGCATAATATTAAAACAAAAAAATATTTTAAAAGATTCTTACTACATCCTCAGCTTTTCCACCTCTAAGTCCCAACCTCTCTCCCCTCTTCCTCTCACATACACTCCATCCCAAGATGCCATCCCAACACTTTCAGTATCTTTAAGAGCCGAAAGCTAAAGCAGCATTAATGGCATTTGGCAGAACATCCCATCCCACAGTGAAGACTCCTCCCAATTCCACACAATGAAGAAATAAATGATAATCCAACAGAATAGGCAGTAAAAATCAGAGCCTGCCCCCTTCCCACATAAAAGAGGCACAGAAATTTCAAGAGTTAATGAAAATGGCATCATCTCTTGCCAGACAGCCACCAACTACCACTGGTTGGCAGCCGCATTATCACTTGTTTCTCCTCTGGACTGAAGTGTAAGATAGTCAGTATGGCTGTGAGAGTCTGCTGGCGGCCCAGAGAGTCAGGTAAGGTCAGGAAGCGGTAGATGATGTTTTTGAGGTACTCCAGGTTGGCTCCCTCCCTGCTCTGATCCCTGATATTCTTTTCAATGTGGCTCTGCAGGGCTCCAACCTCCTCACGGTGCCGCTCCCCCTCCTCCAGCAGTCGGTCCTGCAGCTGGTGCAACTCCACTTCCAGCCTGTGCTTCTGCTTCTTCAGCGATGTGATCTCCACCTCCTTGCGGGCCAACTGCTCAGCATATAGGAAGAAAGTGGGCTCACTGGCTGCAGCAAGATGTAGTGCTTGGGTCAAGCTATCTGGGGAAGATGTATCAGCTGGGTCCCCAGGAACCCCGCCACCCACAGGGCTTCTGCGTCCTGGCAGCCCAGAGGACAAGGCCATAGAACGCAGTTGCTCCAGCTCCAAGTCCTTCTCAGCAAGGACAGCCAGGGCACGGTCCCGCTGCTTGTGCAGCTCTTCCTCCAGCTTCAGTGTGCGGTCCCTGAAGTCCAGCTGACTTCGCTCCAGCTCCTGCCGGTGGAGCTGCTGCAGCTGGGCCAGCTCCTGCTTCCAGTTCTCAGCCTCCTGCTGGTGCTGGTGTTCAAGTTCTTCGCAGGACAGCCGCAAAGAGATGTACTTCTCTTTCAACTCGGCAAGCTGTTCCTGGGCTGCCTCCAGCTCTTTTGCCAAGTTACCATCTTTGGTATTCTTGCTCTTGAGAATAACCTGGGCCCTCATCTTATACCTCTCAAACTCTTCCTTCAGCTGTTTCAGCTCCTGTTGGTAGTAGAGTGCAGTAGCCTTCTCCCCATCGGCAGCCTCTGAGCTGGGCATTATCTCCAGATCACAGAGCTTCTCCACATCCAAGGTCACCTGGCTTTTCCTGGCTGCAACCTGCAACAGCCTCTTCAGCTTTTCCATCTTATCCTTCAGGACATTGACATCCAGACTGGACTCCTCTCCATGGCTATCTAGAGAGGAACGGCTGGAGGCTGCTAGAGCCAATGTCTTATTCTCCAGGTCCAGCTGCAGAACACGTTCTTTCAGCTTCTGGATGGTCAGCTGGTCCTTCTGCTTGGCTTTCTCGTAGGTGCCCAGCAGCTCAGACACTTCAGATATTTGATTCTCCAGGGCTGCTACCCTCTGCTCTTCCACCTGAGATTGCTGACGGAGTTGATCCTCTGCAAGGGCTGTCTGCAAAACAAGGGAACAGACAAAAATACATCCAGAAAAGCCACAAAGCCTTATACCAAACTGTGAGAAGGCAAGAAAGGGAGCAAAAGGGTCACAGGTTTGGGATGGCCTAGCAGGAATAGGAACTAGGTTTTTTTTTCTGTTGATTCAGGTATTAACAAAATCTCTTATAACCTGCTTGGGTTCTGCTCCAAGTCATATATTATACCAAACAATACTGAGCACCTGTTGTTTTGCTTTAGAACTTTCACTTTCCCGCTAACTCATATATAAAGTGTACTCTCTTCTCTCGGTTATCATGTGCTTCCCCAAATCCTATTAAGAAATCATACGACATTCCTTTCCTTGTTCTATATTCCTGGAAGTTCAAAACTGAGTTGGCGCTCCCTCTCCATGTAGAAAAGAGGCATATTAAAATAGCACTTTTCCAAAATAAGCAAATCTTGACTAAAAGCAATTATAAGAGGTTATTTTTCCTGAGAGAAGATGATTTGCCTTCAGCCACCTTACTTACAGGTACATACCTATAGGCATACACACCACCTTTCACTGTACAACTGCCACTATATTGCTTCATAGAGCACAGCTGGTAAGATGCCAATGCCCAAGAGCTCAGAGCTGTCTGGCTCCAACTCAACCTACATTCTGAAACTCCATATCCTGGTGGAGGCACACCCTGTGCATATCATCAACACTATATAGAACAGGATCTCCAAGGACTCACTAGTGGAACTTTCCAGGCAGCATCAAAAATGACAGTGCAGCCACTTAGTTCTGTCAAAAGAGAAAAATAAAAACTATATTTCTCATTGTAGGTAAGTAACTAATATTTGAAGGAGATGAGGATAATTACCTTTCTCATTTCCTGCTGCAACTGAGCCTGGAAATGGCTCTTAAGGTGGGCAGCCTCTTCCTGAAGTTCTTGCAGCCGAGGGTCTGGCTGATTCTTCTCATCTTGAACAGCCTGCAGCTCACCTTTCAGCTCCTCTACTTCACGGGTCAGCTGCTTGGTCTGCAATTCAAATGCTTCCATCTGTTCAGCTGCATATGCCCGCCCTGCCAGGGCTTCTCGCGTCTCTTCTAGCCGAAGCTCCAAGTCCTGGCGCTGGGTCCTCTCCTCCTGCAGCAATTTCTGGAGCTCACGAAGCATTAAGGCATGGTCACTCTGCTCTTGGGCCCTATCATGCTGCTGTGTGATAAGTCGGGCTTTGGTTTCTGCTATCTGCTCCTGCAGCCCCTTCAATTCTCCCTCCAGACGGCTCCTCTCCTCCTCTGCCTTTTTATTGGCATCCTCTAAGTCCTGTTTCATTTTCTTCTTGTCAGCCAGGTAAGAAGCCTCCATGCGGGACTTCTCCTGGGTGACTGTAGCCAAAGAGCTGGTCAAAGTAGCCAACTGAGTCTTCAGCTGGTGCAGTCTTTTGTCCACCTCCCCACCTGCAAATGGCCCATCCCCACTGCTACTGCTAACACCACTCTCTGACCCACTGGCCTCTTCAGACTTTGGAAGTGGTAGTCCACGGGCAGCTCTGTCATCCTCTATCCCAAACTCACCCTTGGTGCTGGTGAGACTGGCTGCAGTATCCAAGCTGGTGGCAGTGCCAGTGCTATCCTCGCTGTGAGTGGAGCACCGGTCATCTACAGAGTCAGGAAAGGGGAGGCCTGGAGGCTGGACACCTGTGAGGCCCACATCTGCCTCGTGGGACACCGACAGCACCTTGATGCTGGCTTCTAATGCCTCTTTCTCCTTCAGGAGGCTTTTATAGGCGCGGACCACATCCTTGAGCCGTGCCTGGTACTGGAGGAGCTGTTTCTTTTGCGTCTCTATGGTCTCCAGCAGGTCCTTTTTGCTCGGGCCGCCCCCGAAATTCATCCCAAACTTCTCCATGGCAGTTCTGAGCGAAATGCTTCACGTCAGCGTTCCGGAAGCCCGAGGAAGGGACTAGAAGACGCGGGTAGGGGCTTAAAGAGACAGGGAGAGGGCTGTCCAGCTGCAGCCCGCACATCCGCTCCACCCAGCTGTCTGCGACCAAAAGCAGGTCGGTGGGACAGCCGCAAAAGCGTCCGCTGGGTCCCAGGCCCGGAAGGCTGGATCGGGTCCTACCCGAGAGGCGGGCAACGCTGCCAGGGTTCTCCCTTTAAAACCCAAAGCCAATCCGCACTCTCAGCTCGTCCGGGCCACGGCAGCCAGGGCCAGGTCCCTGGGCCCACAGTCCGCCAAGGGTTTACGCTCAGCGCAGCTCCATCAAGATTTCCTAACTACGGCCCCCCAGCGACAACGGCGCTTCCGGGTTCGCTGGAAGTGACGTAAGCGCGACGCCGCAGGCTCCACCCCCAGTGGTACCAAGGTGTGTGGGGGCCGCTTCGTCTGTAGGTGGGAGGCGGCCTGTATAATACCTAGTGGGTGCCAAACCGAAGAGGACCGGCCAGGGGAAGAGCGGAGCAAGTTAAGTTCAAGACGCAGGAGTGAGCGCGTCACAACTTAACCTTGGACTGTGATCAGAGGGCGACGTCGCACTGCGTTCTCACTTAGAAGCATCCAATAATTTGGGGCTCGAGGCTATGCCCCTAAAGGGCAACAATTAAGACTCCTATTTAGACCACGAAAACTGCAGCCCTTTCAAGCACAGTCCTTGGTAGCTAGTAGGCATATAGTAAAATAGTTCCGACCCTTTGTTCTGCCGAGTTGATACAGTAAATACCCGGAGGTGGCAAAAAAATGTATGCACATTTTAAGAAAGAAAAAAACTATTAAAACTGTAATACGCAATATACAGTATACTATTTTAGATGCATATGAACTTTATGGATACCCTGTATATGATGCCCTTTTGTTATCTTGTATATTGTATCTGTATCTCTTGTAATTGCAGAGTTAAATGTGACTTGAGTGTTAGAATTTTAATAGTTTTTTTTCTTTTCTTAAAATGTGTATACAACTTTTTGGCAACCTACGTATTTATAGACAGCACCCTACAGCCATGAAATCTATCCTGAGTGCTGACTATATGCCCGGAGCTTCACAAGAGTATTGCTATTTAGTCTTTACAATAATTGTGCTCAGGGGGTATCCTTAGCTATTTTACAGATGTAGGCATCTGAGGCATAGAAAGGCTAAGTAAACATGCACAAAGTCACACAGCTAGTAAGATTAGGAATTCTATCCAAATTAATCTGATTCTGAACATACAAGTGCTGTACCTGGTCATAACACAGTAAAGAGACATGGCCTTGCCTTCAAGAAGCTCACAGTCCAGTAAGGAACCAGGCATGCAAACAAGTCCTGCTATCATACTAGTATGTATGGGTATATCCAAAGTGGTATGAAAGTTAAAAGAAGGTAGGCTCTCAGGAAAAATACTTTTGAATTTTGAAGAATGAATAATGATCACCCATCTAACCAGAGATGAGGGAAACCACCATTCCAGGCATCTGGAAAAGATTGCAAGGACTTCTGGAGTATCAAAAAGTCTGACTCACCCAAGAGATATAATCTCTCGGCTCGGCGCCTGTAGCTCAAGTGGCTAAGGCACCAGCCACATACACCAGAGCTGGCGGGTTCAAATCCACCCCAGGCCTGCCAAACAACTATGACAACATCCCAAAATAGCCAGGCATTGTGCTGGACACCTGTAGTCCCAGCTACTTGGGAGGCTGAAGCAAGAGAATCGCTTGAGCCCAGGAGTTGGAGGTTGCTGTGAGCTGTGATGCCATGGCACTCTACCCAGGGCAACAGCTTGAGGCTCCGTTTCAAAAAAAAAAAAAAAAGAATAATCTCAAGGCAGTAGCTTAGTGTATGCAAAACAGGTGACAACAGTGAGGCTGGCACAATCAGTGGAAATCCAAATTCTACCATTTAGGTTTTATCTTAGGTGATATAGGCCTAAAAGGATTTTAATCTGAAAAGTGAAGCATTGTGAAGACTTATATGATAGGGTAGAGATACCAAAGGGCAGACCTGAAAGGAGGCTCTTTCAGTCAAGGGGAAGAGAAAGCAGTGAAATAAAGTAGTGACAACAGAGATGGAGAGAAAGATGCTGATAAAAGAGCTAAATATAAAACTGACTTGACTTTATCTCTAGTTATTATATTGGGACTCTAGGATGTACCATACTCTTCAACTTTGTAAAAGCCTTCTTAGGAATGCAAATCTATAACTAAAGAGAAAAGGAAATTCATGCCCTCACTCACACCGGTTTCCCAAATTCTGTTCTTTGCAGGTAGAATAGGGCAGGCCCTAGAGTTCTGTTCAGACCCAGTTTCTTAGTGCCTCATATGATGTCCAGCTACGCTATGTATAACATTCATTTACATTATTTCATCATCTTAATATTCACCATAATTCCTTGAGTTAGAACAAATATGTCTTCTTTTACATCTGAGAAAATAATGGAAGAGTTGTACCACTGAAGCCAAATCCTCAATAAATGGCAGAACTAAGATATGGAGTAAGGCCTGAAGTAATGCTGTCCTATTTATTTATGGTCAGTAAAATATTTGTTGGAACAGTGAATGAATGAAGTAAAAGTTTTCTGATTCTTGGTTCAGCTTCACCTCCAGCCCACTGGCAATTCTTAGAAGCCGACTAGGAATCCAGAAAGGGCACAATGCCAGCCCTTACTCCACTGAGCAACTTATTAGTCCAGTATAACCCAATAGGCACCTGTTAAGCAAATTTGTTAAATGCTTGGCATTGAGCTAGTTCCAGCCATAGAAAAAATGTAATTTCTATTTTACTATTACCCTCAGATGCTAAAATGAGGGGGAGAATTACATGTCAGGCTCTTGGGCTCTAGGGAGGCAAGATCTTCACAAAATCCAGAATAGGTGTGCATAATAATATAGGTCTGCAAATCTTTAGCAAAGTGAAAGAACTTCAGAAAGGCAGACTGAGCCTGGATTGAAAGACGGTGCCCGCGTGGCGATCAGGGGAAAGTGGAGTTCTCCAGTAGTCCAGGAGTTGGTGTGTGACCATTCTGCCCAAGGCTGGGAATCTTCCACTGGCGCTGCTGATTAAAGATCATCGAATTAAGGGTTTTAAGGAACCAAGAAAGCTAGCAGAGACTTCTCGGGTATCTTCTTCCCCTACTTTCGGCACGCTCGCACGACCACCCACCACTAAGGTAAATGCCCTCCATAGAAGCCAAAAGGAAAGATTAAGAACCCTGCACGCAAGTGTACACAGTCGGTGGTGCCAGTCGGAGCGGGCTGGACCCAACAAACCAGACTCCAGAGTCCGGCCACTGGGGGCGGGGGCCGCTGTGCAGCGATGCGGGTTTGGACTACCGGTGCAGCGGCCATAAGCTTAGCCCAGTCGCGTTCTCTCCCTAGGGCCGCGCGGGACCCGGCCAGATTGCAGAGGATCGCAGGGCTTCAGTGGCTCCCGGCTCCGGGCTGGGGGCGGGGCCTGCGGGGGCGGGCCCACGGTGACGTCGGGCGGGCCGGGACGCGCGGAGGCGGCGGCGGAGCCTACACCTTCTGCTGCTGCTGCGCCCCATCCCCCCGCGGCCGGCCGGTCCCAGCCCGAACCCCGCGTCCGTGTCCGCACCCCTCCCCCGGGCCGGGCCATGGGCCTCACCGTGTCCGCGCTCTTTTCGCGGATCTTCGGAAAGAAGCAGATGCGGATTCTCATGGGTGAGGCATACCAAGCGCGCGGCCCGGACCGGGCGCCGGCCCCGGCCCCGGCTCAGCCCTCCCGCCCCCGCGTCCCTCCAGCCCGGCTCACCTGGGTCTCTGACCCAGAATCACCCACCTCCTTACTCCCTGGGCCTCTGTTCTCGGCGGGTCTGCAGCGCTGCCAGTGGGGCCTGAGACCCGGTGCTGTGGGCCTGGGTGGGGTGAAGCTCCCTCCGCCCCAACCCGGCTGGCAAGAAGGGAGGATTCCGCCCTTGGAGACGACTTTTAAAAGGAGCGCGGCCTTCGTCTCCTGCCCCTTACCTCCCAGTCCTCTCCAGTCCCTTGCCCACTTTGGGCAGGAGTTGGCGCAAGCCACCCAGACTGCCCTCAAGGCCCGGAGGTAGATAAGAGCGCACACCTGGAGACGCTCGGGCTCTCCGCCCCTGTCACCATCAGCTGTCCTGGCTTCTCCCTTTCTCTGGTCCCTAGGGGGCTCCCTTGCTCCCCTCTCCATCCCTATGCCCCTCTCTGTTGCAGTTGGTTTAGATGCGGCTGGCAAGACCACAATCCTGTACAAACTCAAGTTGGGGGAGATTGTCACCACCATCCCAACCATAGGTGAGCCCAGGGGGAGGAAGGGAGGAGTGGGAACGCTGTGGCGGGCCTTCACTGGGTTTGCTCCCGGTTCTGCCTCTTATCTGGCTCTGACCCTGACATCAGATATGGCCACTTGAGAAGTGGGTCAAGGTATCTCTATGTGCCTGCAGGGTGGATGTCCCCCAGCCCCGCCCTGTCTGTTGACTGCTGTTCTTCTGGGACTCTGTTCTCCTGGCCTTGATCAATGCTTTCTGGTTTTGTGTCCCTGCTAAGATCCTAGTAGTTTTAGTGAGTTCCTTCTTTTCTGGACTTTTCCTCATATTTTTCTCCCAATTATCTGCAGGCTTCAATGTAGAAACAGTGGAATATAAGAACATCTGTTTCACAGTGTGGGATGTGGGAGGCCAGGACAAGATTCGGCCTCTGTGGCGGCACTACTTCCAGAACACTCAGGTGGAGTGTGTGGGGGACCACGAATTCCAGGGGAAGAGGTGTTAGAACTGGGAGGACTGAGATACTGGCCTGGGCTGCCCTCTGAAGCCAGGAAAAACCCCTTCCTGCTTATGCTTCCCTTAGTTGGCCAGCCCTTACTCATCTCGCAAAACTCAGCTTAGTCTTCATAGACTTAGCCACCTAGAACTTCCCCTGAGAAGCAGGGATCTAGGGCCATGCTGCCTGATTTAGCTCTCATCACATACCTCCCTCCTATTCCCTTGCACATCTTTAAATTGATTATTTTCTCCTTGAGAATAGAGGCTGTATTCTTGCAGTCGCATCTCTAGTTTGGGCTAGGACTTCTGCAGAGCCTTAGTAGAAATTTACTAGATAAGAAAAGTTAGCACAATTAAAGATGGGAAGAAGAGAGGGAGGGCCAGAAGTGGGTATGTCCCAGGTGGGAATGATACTTCCTTCCTGCCCAGGGCCTCATCTTTGTGGTGGACAGTAATGACCGGGAGCGGGTCCAAGAATCTGCCGATGAACTCCAGAAGATGGTGAGTACCCAAAGTCCTGGGAACTGAGCCCTTGGCCTGGGTACAGAGAGATCTCTGTGGTGG